TGCTCCTCTTGGATAATCTGCTACCTAGGAAAGGACGTAATTTCTTGGAAGTGATGAGCAACCATTATTATAGAGGACACATGTGGAGAAAAAAGTAGTCCCAAATAAAGTATTCTCTTTCTATCATGTGTTTGAGTTTCTTTAATTTAAATTTACATTGGTAGAAGAGAACAGAGATCAACGCAATAGCTTCCAAATTTATTCCACAATTTTAAGTACGGAAAAGTACAACACTTGGAAAAAAGAAATGCAAATTTGGGAACTTTCTACCAGCACCAACAACCTTGCCATAGTATTTTTATTCCTGGAAGGAAAAGCCAGAGAGGCTGTATTGAAATTGAACATTACAACATTAAAGCCAAAGAAGGAATGGAAATATTATATGAAAAGTTAGATACGCTCTTTTTATAGGACGCTAACAAGTTGGTTTTTATGGCATACAAGTTGTTCTTACAATATCAGTGACAGAATGACATGTCAAGAGACAACTATCCTATTAACTTTGACTGTCATTTCACAAAATTAAAGGACCATAAAATACAGTTACTGGCACCGGTACTTGCCTACAGAGCATTAAAAAGTGTGAATCTGACACCAGAAAATGAGAGACTAGTGAAAGCCGCCATCAGCAAATTAAGTGTCTGCAATGTCCAAACAAATAAGAAAATTATATACAAACAGTTTTCTGATGCCTCATCAACAAATAGTTGTGATAAAAAGAGATTTGGTCTATTCCTACAATGAAAACAGCCAGGAAGACACTAATGAAGTGTATTACAGTCACTTGTCAAAGTGTCTTTCTCATTTTTCTAGTTGGTGAGATAGTTATAACAGAGGCAGAAAAGGACATAAGAACAAAAAGACGGCATTGGGAATAGTATCTAAACATTGTGTAAATCCATGGACGTAAAAACTGTATTCTTATAGAGTAAGCACTTAGACCGATTGATTTATTTGGATCCTCCAAAAGAGGTCGATGTACCTCCAGGTTATATTTGAAAACTCTCAAAATATGGTTTGACTGATGCTTTGAGTTCCTGGTGCTTGAAACTCAAGGATGAATTAATTAAATTAGGAGCAGGATTTTCAAAATATAACCAGGCAAAATTTACATGGCAATTTGGAAACAAACTGCAGGGTATAATTGCTGCCCATGTTAATGATTTCTGCTTTGCAGGGAGAGAGATCCTTCAGACTAGATTTATAGACAAAATTCATCATCTATTTGAAGTCAAATCTGAAGAAATTGCTGAATTCCAATATAGAGGATTAAACATAAAGGAAAATGAAAATACTATCAAACTAGGACAGAATGAACATGTAAAAAAGTTGAAATATAGAAGTAGGCAGAAATTTGAAAGACACTTTACTTATAACAGAAGTAACTGAGACCTGGCAGCTGATTGGTCAAATTAATTGACTAACCACCCAGACAAGGCCTGATCTAAGTTATGATTTTAGTGCGTTAAATTCAGTATTAAAGCAAGAAAAATGTAGAATATATAAAACAAGTTAACAGAGTAGTCAAGAATGCTAAAAAGAAAAAAATCCCAGATAGACATTCCAGATTTGGGAAACCAATTTGACAGTGGATCACAAGCATCTGCCATGATTGATTTGTTTCTTATAGCTTATCAACCTTTGCATGTTATTTAAAGCCAGAAAATATTTTTTAGATTTAAGAAATGTTTTTGGTAGAAAATAATGGTTTACTGATACAAGTCCTACTAATTAACACAAAGATATAGATGAGAAGGGGTGGATTCAGGGTATTTGCAGGTAAGTGAATATAACGAATGGTATTTGAATTTGATTTTCTGATTCTCAATTCCAAGTCATTGTTCGTTACACCACCTGCATGTTCAAGCTTAGAGCACTTTGTATTCCTAAGTGGTTACCCATTTAAGCAATGGCTAGTTTCACCATTGCTTAACTATGGTGATCGTATGAAAACTGGCATTTCTACATATAGAAATAGCTTTAAGCCAAAATATCCCATGAAATACTTTGTTGAAACATTGAAGAATTTAAGAAAAATATTATATAAATATAACTGAGTTCTTACTAAACAACACACTCACTGCATTAGTCATTCATTGTGATAAATGTGATTACAATTTGACTTATAGAATGTGGTCCCGATTAAAATAGTCTTGAATGTAGAATAATTTCTGAATTCTCTCCCATAAATTTATATCAAGCATCCTACAAACTTATCTTCTTTCTGCCTGAATTTATGGGATGAGGAATTATTATCATTCACACTATATTCAGATGATTGTCCTTGTCTTTGTTGTTGTTATATGAATAACAACAATAAAGATGACAATAGCCCAAATATAAATAGTGTAAATAATAACTTCTTTCCTCGCAAAATTATTCCTAATAAAATGTTCGCTAATTAAAAGCAATGTCAATAAAATTAAAATGGGAAAAAAAAAACACCCACTAAAGGAGAGAGATGAATCTCTAGATACATCGGATGTCAAAATATTTAAATGCGGAATATTTCCTATATCTTTGGTACTTCACTGTAAACTGTAACCAGAGTTTGTTGCACTTCAATCCACAAATTTTCCCTCTTTTTATATATAAGAGAAATTCCATCAATAAAACCATTCCTTATCAGAACGAAAGGCATCATTATATAGTACACCATAACCGCATTCATTTGCACACAAGTGTACATATGTATGCATATAGAAAACTGTACATATACACACACACACACACATATTTATATCTCTCTCTCTTTATATATATATATATATATATATATACCTACCAACCTATGTACATATGAATATATGAAAGTTATGTTATAAAAATATCAGAAACCATTTTGTGGTGCATTTCAATCATAGAAGGAAATACTTTAGACTAAAGAAAGTCTGAATAATTTTGTTCTTGGATTAAATACATAGATACACATACATGCATGCATACATGCATACATACATATATATACATATATATGTGTGTGTGTGTGTGTGTGTGTGTGTGTGTAAATTATTGGCAATCTTCAAAAACAAAATCTACAGATCTTTTTTATCTCACTCTACCTACCAAAGTATCATGTTATCTTTATAGACACACACACACACACACACACACACACACACACATATATATATATATATATATATATATATATATATATATATATATATATATTATATGTATATATTCCCCAAAATAAAAAATATTGTGGATGAAGTACATGTGTGGAGGAGGTTGTAGGAACACATCAAAGATGTTCCCTTAAGTACGGAATGTCTTCAAAGAAATTTAATATACCTTGTCACATGCTACAATGCATCACATACACAAAAGCCATGCACACACACAAACCCACGCATCTATATATATATATATATATATATATATATATATATATAGATAGATAGATAGATAGATAGATAGATAGATAGATATATTCAGAAAAAATTCTATAATTTTCTCCTTGCAGCAATATTCTGAGTGATAAGATCTGTATACTTAATTAAAATAAGATATTCCTGGAAGTGCTTTTGTACTTTTTGTGTACTTTTGTATCATCATTAATATTTGTAGAATTGTTCAAATTTTCTTTTCTAAATCAACCAATAGTTATTTGTCAAAAGCATATAGTTGGTGAGATCCTTGATTTTGCAATAAGTCTTCAGTTCTTTTGTTCTTTTAGAAGAATGTATTTGTAGTTTTGTGTTAGTTTTTGATCACTCAGAACTGTGTGGGCTGTCTTGCATGACTAATCATGAAGTTGTCTGTCTTCAGAGAGATTGCTAGTCAAAGACAGACATGTACTTAATTCATTTACTATTGCTGGAAACAGACAAAAGATTTTGTAGATAATATTTGGGATTAGGGAGATTAGTAAGGATTAGCAGGTTATTAGTCTTTATAATTTCTATAAAAATTTGCGGTTTTGTTTTATTGATATTAAAAGATGTATTTGTCAGTCTCAATAATTCATTTGTCAATCATACAAACATGGAATCTTTTAAAAGGACATTAGGTTGGAACAAAAGGTCTGTCCAATTTTATCCTGTATATTACAAATGAATATACAAATACTTATAGAAATATTTAATCATCTGTAGTGAATGTATAAATGATTTTCCTCGAAATTGAACCTGCATCATGTGCACCATTTTCCAAGGAAGAAGGGAAATGTTTAAAAGCCAGACAAAAAAAAGATATGACAACAAAAAATTCTTACTTGAGTAAACAACATTCCACAAATGATTTTTTCTACTTTGTCATAGATTTTTGTTATATTCCGTGCTAATATGGACTGAACAAACTTGGTGGATAAATAGTAACAGGTTTATTGTAGAAACCAGTACAACAAGCAAGGAAGTAATAGTTATGTGCATGGTCATCTCAAGTCAGTACAGTTGTGTGCGTGCTACTATCAGAAGACTGCTAGTCTTGCAGATACAAGCTTGACTCTCCTGTCCGCTGTCCTAACAGATACCTATAGTACTACCATTCATGGGCATGGCAGGTTATTCCATCACATCAATTTTCCTAATATAAGTGTATGTATCAGAATATCATAATGTATTTCATGAGTGCATGATCTGATTTTTGTGTCATATGAGCAACATGCATTTGATTAATGTGTAATGAATTTTTGTTATGATTTGTCGCTAGTGAAGTTTGTGCACTTCAAATCAAAATCAATTTAATCCTCATGTGGATCCCAATTTATGAAAATCAAATATTTAAATCCATGATACGTGTTTATTTTTTTGGATTAAAACATCATGACTTGAACTGGTTATTTACCATCAAAACAATTTTGTAACGTTATAATTTTTATGTGAATATGCTGAATAAAATATTTAGTCAGATTGTGGGAATCATCTTTTATGGCTGTGGAATTTAACCTGTTCTCTTGAATCGTATTTATTTGAAGAAATCAAATCAATAACGCATGAATCAAATTGATTATATTTAGGAGGAGTGTTATAGAGAGATTATTGTGGTCAAAAGAATTATGATAAAAACTGAATGATGGAGAAGAAGAAAAGAAAGAAAAAAGAAATCAAAATCATTGTAAGAATGAGAAGGAAAGAAAAATATATTAACCAAAAAAAAAAAAAGAAAAAAACTGAAATTGCAGGAGGAACAGAAAAGGAAGGAATAAAGAAAAAGAATATTGCTGGATAAATATTTAGAATTATTAACAAAGACCAAAACAGAGGGAGGAAATAAAGAGTGGAGAGAGAGAAAATAGAGAGTTGGATGAGAGAGAGAAAGAAGAGAGAAGAGAGAGAAAGAGGGTGAGAAAGAATGAAAGTAGAGAGAAGAAAGAAAATAGAGAGAAGGGAGAAAAAGAAAGTAGAAAGAGAAGTGAGAAAGAGAGAGTAAAGAAGAGGGGAAAAAGAATTAAAGAAGAGAAAGGAAGGAGGAAGAAAGTGAGAGGAGTGAGAAAGGGAGAGTAGAGAATAGGTTGAGAAAGAATGAAAGTAGAGAGAAGGGAGAAAAAAAAAGTAGAAAGAGAAGTGAGAAAGAGAGAGTAAAGAAGAGGGTGAAAAAGAATTAAAGAAGAGAAAGGAGGGAGGAAGAAAGTGAGAAGAGTGAGAAAGAGAGACTAGAGAATAGGTTGAGAAAGAATGGAAGTAGAGAGAAGAAAGAAAATAGAGGGGAGGGAGAGGAAGAAAGTTAAGAGTGAGGAGAGAGAAAAGAGAGAGGTAAGTTAAACTTGAGAAAGAATGTAATTGCGGAAATGAAAAGAAAGTAAAAAAATGCAATGAAAATGAAAGAGAAATGAAAAAAATATAGAAGTTAAAAATACACAAAAAATGGGAATGAAAGGAAAAAAAATTTTAGATGATAAAGGAAGCGAATGAGATTTAAAAACAAACGAATGAATTATTTATTCCTTTAACCATTTGGTTAAAGGAATAAATCATTTATTCCTTTAACCATTTCCTTTAATTATTTATTCCTTTAACCATTTGGTTAAAGGAATAAATGAAGAACAGAAAAAATTAAAAGAGAAAAAAAGAAATAATGGAAGGAAACAAAATGACTGAGAAAAAAAAAGTAAGAAAGAAAAGAAAGAAAAAAAAGTAACAAAGAAAAGAAAGAAAAAGACAAAATATGTAAAACAAGGAAGAGAAAAAAAAAGAAAGAAAATGAGGTTAGGGCTATGAAGAAAGTGAAAGAAATTTTTGAATCATTTCACCCTAAGCAAGGCAATAAGGCCACTAAGACACAAGGGAAGTTACTGAGTGTGAAAGAATGAGAAAAAGAAAAACATTATTAAGAAGAGAGAAAAATAAAACAACAGCAATTAAGAAGACACTCACTTAAATCCATACCAAGTAGCAGATTTTATGATATAGAGTTGTTAACCCTACTATTTAACCCATAACTGAGGGGAAAATAGATGGATTCATACCTTTCCCAAGGGTATTTGTGTGCAAGTGAATGCACTGAGCACAAATGGAATTTGAACTCAGTTCACTGATTTCTCATTCCAAGTTGTTACCCATGAGACCCACACACACATCGGAATATATAAATTACTAGCCAAATTACTCATACCATGCTGTGTGTCGCATAATATTTTTATATGAAAATGATGACAGATTTTAAATCATTGTTATAATTTGTGGAGAAAAATGATGCATTTTAATATTACTCAAATGATCTTGCCGATGTGACCTCCATCTTCTGGCTTTTTCCTTCTATATTTTGGATAGCAGTCATTCCCTTGTTCACATTTAAATTTAATTTAAACCAAAAGGGAAAAGATTTCAGTGGAGGGTTTGTACCCTCCAGGGAACCCCTCTGATCAAAATGAAATATACGTATCCAAGTTTCAGAATATATATAGTTATGGGGGTCTATCTCCAAAACCCTAGCAGGAGTTTGATAACAAACTGACTGAGAGAGGCTACAAATTTATATATATATATATATATATATATATATATATAAATTAATTGATTTAAAATATGTTTTTTTTTTGCTACACAGTTCTAACCATATTTCAAAAATGGAAGCTAAAAGCCACAAATTTAATTTTGTGATTTGAGGATGAAATGGAACTAATGTCTTTAATTTAATCACAAAATTAAATTCATGGCTTTTAGCTTCCATTTTTGAAACATGGTTAGAACTGTGTAGCGAAAAAAAAAACATATTTTAAATCAATTAATTTACAATATTAATGCTCTGTAAATTTACATTGAGCACTATTTTGTAAAAATAAAAATATCTATAAGAACACCGGATTATATATCTTGCTGTTCTTTCTTTTTATTTTATTTATATACATATATATATATATATATATATATATATATATATATATAAAAAAGGCTTAAACACTAATATTCCATGGTCATAATTTATTCCATTGGAATCGTAAATTGCATATGTATGTATATTTACCACTAATATTATCTATATATATATATATAGATTTAATTAATATCCTTTATCAATTATTTAATTAAATCCTAGAATATTCACTCGTATACTTTTGGAGATTCGTGAGTGTGCAAAGATCTTTTCAACAAGAAAGAATTCTATTCATTGCAACAAACACCAATAACCAAAAGAAAGATTTGATACAAGAACAGGTGGTTTAAAGAACTTGTTTTCAGACCAGGTATGTGCATTGTCAAAATAACGGTATCAAGTGCTGTCATTAATTTAAATGCAATAAGGAATCTTTTATTCAAGAACCATTTCCGGCTCCTTCAGTGCAATATTCTTGCATCTTCTAAATATTCATTCAATAGAGAGAAAGAAAAATGGTAGTTATAACATATCACTTTTTTATTTTATTTCTTTGAAAAAAGAACTTTTCTCTTTTTTCTCATGGAATTTACAACTGGCAAGAGCTGAGGAATCGATCCACTATAACATTGTGTTTATGACATCAAGAATTCAATTGTTCAAGCAATATCTGGTGTGTTAATGACTTGTCTCAAAATTATAAATGATTCTTATTTATATTAGAGTATATTTAGGGCATATCATATTGAAACATTGGTTCTTATCTGATCAGCAAAGTTAAGCAAAGTCAATATCTAGATGGGTGACCACTTGGAAATAATAGATGATGTGTTGGGGATATAATTGATAATGGCTTGGAATTAAAAACTAAATAGCCAGATTCAAATTCCAGTCAAGTATGTTGCATTCATTTTACCCTTTGCAAAGCTGTGGGTTAAACAGCAGGACAGACAGTGTCCTTTAGCCTTGTTTGGCAACCTGTCTAATGCAGAAAATAACCGCAGCACACTGTAAAAATACTTCTGTCAATCATGAATTAGAATGAGACATAATCACCCAAGCATGCATTATACATGACACCTAAAGAAGAATATTAATGTAGTAATTCTCAGGGGATCAATTTAGTACTTAATGACAATAGGGAACTGATCCCCAATTTTATAACCAGTAGAATCTTAGATGAAATCAATCATGAAATGGAAAGAGACATAATCATGTATGGTACCAAAAGAAGGAAGGAATATTTAGGCCACAAGAATTTATCCAAACAAGTTTTTAGCTAAATTGAACAGATACCGTCTGTCCTATTTTTTATTGTATTTTTCTCACCTTTGAATAAGTTGTACATGCAAATAAAAATTTTGGATAAACTGTTCAAAATTCATAGACATTTTGGGGGCTATATCTTTGCTTATTCTGATGTTAAAATGCAAATTAATTCAAATATATGTATATAAATAACAAATATAAAATTCTACTTCAGATTTTATATCACTATATGTCTGAAGTAGTTTCTTCTCAGAATGAAATGCATCACTGGGAAGTATTTTCCATTTTGTAAACACACACACAAAAGTTTCCTCGAAAGTGAACAGTATGGTGTAATGATACTGACTCATGGGAAGTAGTATGCACTCAACTACCTTATGGGTAATAGCTGTAGCTATTTATAGTCTTTGTGACTTCATACGAAAATGAGTCACCTTATCTCCCATTACTGAAGAGGTTTTATCTTTCTATTTTCCGTGGTACTTCTGGGATATTTTGTCTCCTCACTATCTTCCTCCCTTTCCCTAAGAGATTGTCTAGATATGGGAGATTGTGATCTTTTTCTTTTTTCATAGGAATGTTCCTCCAATGATTGTTTATCTCCAGAATCTATATTACTCTCAATTTCACTGTCATGTTTGTCTTGCCCTGACATGACACTTTCACTTTCACTTTCATTGCTTTCAGGATCACTATACATTTCTTCATCAATATCATGTTGTAATCGAACTTGGTCTGCCATGTGCTAATATCTCATTTCCATTTTTTTCTATTAGCATAGTGTTCTGTCTACATTGCATTATGAATCTTGCCTCTTGTAGATTAGATTAACTATTCTTTTTATACCACATTGGTGGCATAAGACATGGTTAACACTTTCACTGCTACTCATTTGCCGAGTGCTGACCCCATCCGGCCAGCCATTCTTAAAGAAAATGCCAAATTTCAACCTACATATTTTATTACACAGAAAACTGGCACCAGTGTGTTTTACAGCATTCCATTTTCATGGATATACCTGGGAATGACTTACCAGATCAGTAATGGGTATACACATGATATCTTTTGAAGCATTGTCCTTTGTGATTTTACGATAGATGGCGCAACGGGACACTCATAACAGTGGTATGCAAAAAACGTAGGTTTCCGTACTTAGCCAGCTGGAGCAAGATAAGAAAAATGAAGATCTCCGTAGTTAACAGCGGAAGTGCTAATGAGGCTTTAATTTATCTACCCATGAGAGTGGACGGGCTTTTCAATCTTCCATCATGTGGTATAGTCCTTTAGCTTAGCAGCAATCTGGGAAAAAATGTTTCTATCTTTTCTTACTTGGATGCTATGTTTTTCCCTATTAGGTGACTTATATTGTCAAATGTCATTTCCTTCAAATATTTTGGGTATGCAGTAACTGATAATTTTATAATGGCCTCACAACCAGCAGTTGCCAAGAAGAGAGCAGTTATTTGGTTTTCTCCTCCAGCAGATTTGAAACCCTTCATTTTTTTTTGTTCTAGCTTTAGCTGCTAGAATCCTAAGCTATGCTTGTGTGTACTCATAATTATCAAGTGATAATTGTTCTTTAGATATTGGCGATGTCATTATGATGTAGTGTTATAGAAACAAATGAAGTAGTATGCACTTAACTACATCATAAGTAATATCTGTAGCTATTTATAGTATTTGTGACTTTGTATGTAAATGAGTTACCTCAGACAAAATTTGTCTTTTAATTTTTTTTTCAAATTTCTGTATAAATTGTAAATCAAAATCAAAATTATAATCTGTCCAAAATTTACATTTCTGTTCCGTTTTTGTTCAAAAAAACTTTTGACTGCCTCAGTTATTATCAAGAACTGGACATTGTCAGTGAGGTAGATAAGATTTTGTCCACTACATTCTGCCATATTTTTGGAATACTAAAATTCAAATTAATCCAAGTGCACACACTTTGTGTAAATGATGTCATTTGTAAAAAAAGTTGCACAAAACATTTAGATACTTTTAATAGCTTTTTCATCTTGTGTATAGTTATGATACATCTATTTACAGTTGATTAACTTAACAGTGTTTTTATTTTTGCTTATATCGGGATAATTTTTCCCAAATTCTGTAGCGTTAAGTTTATTTGCTTGTCGATGACATGGCTGGGGATATTGTTTTTGATAAGTGCTAGTTTTATGTTGCTGAATTCTTTATAAAATAATGTGCCAGAGGAAGAAATTATTTAAGCTCGATTAATCATGATTTGTATAATGGCTCTTTTATGTTGGTGAGGACATTCACTTTTGTAATTGAGAAGATGTGAATTTTTGCTTGAGGTTTTATTAAACAGTGAAGTAGTAAGATTATGACTGTTGGCGTCTATTAAAACATTGACAAAATGGTAATGGTAATGGCATTATAAGGAAACATTCAGCATTTATTGACCAAGCAGCTTGTACCACAATTGGTTGAAATATATAAAATCTTTCTCTTAAAACAATTTTTTCAGAAAAATAGTTTCCTTAAGTTCAGTAGCTGTTATCATTCTTTCCAGTATTGATGGGGAATTTCCTTCCTAACCTTTTACTTGAAGTAGTGTGGAATGTCTACATATTCATTATTTCATTATTTTCTCTTTAAGTTATATGTGACATCCATTTTAGTTGTTACTGCTGTTGAAAGTACAGAAGACTGCTTTTTTTTTACAGTAAGGTTTTCCCTGTATAAGGCAGCCACATGAGGTAGAGGGTTACATTAAGAGGCAGTTTATATGAACAGGAGGGAAAGACAACGGTTAACCTTAGATATGAATGAGTTAAGATTGTAGTGATCAGGGTAATATCCGCTTAGGAGCTGGTTCCAAAGAGCAGCAATTTGCAGGAAGAGGCTATTTGAGTGGAACTTACTTCTCGCCAATGGAATATGGAGGGAGTGTTGGTGGTTTGCTGCTATGTAAGTGGCATAGTGTATCCTAATCATGAAGGTTAGACCTGATGGAACCAAGAATGAAGTTGATCTGAGCAATTTCCCTGGAAGTAGTAATAGAGCAGTGAGAAGCTTGCCCCATCCTGTCTATGAGAGAGAGAGGTTTGAGAGTCAAAAATAATTCTTCTCCAACAAAGACACATTTGAATTCTGTCAAAACTGGAAAATGAGAACTAGTCAGCTCCCACCCAAAGATGGTACCAGTAACTCCATTTTCGGCCTGATCTGGCTCTTATAAAAGTAGCGGATAGCATGAGGAGTCAGGTACTTACTGGAGTAGTACAGGGAGCTGATCATTTTATCTGTATCTTTAGCAATGGATTGTATATATGAGTTCCACTTGAGGTCAGGTGGAAGTTTGAGGTCCAATATTCTCTCAAAGTACAATACTTCTTCTAGGGGACATCCGTTCATTGAGACTGGCAGTAGTTCAGGGTCTGATCAGCGGTGATGGAATGTTACTAGGTTCGAGTTTTTGAGGCATTGAATGTAAAAAGCCAGTTTTTTCTCCGCTAGGAAGTTAGTGCTAGATCAGATGAGGGTTCAGCTGGTCATCAAAAGTTTTTGAGGCTCACCCGTATATTGTTGTATCATTGGCATAGTTATTTACAAATGATCTGATTATATTCTTAGGCAGATCATTTATGTAAATCAGAAAGAGAGTTAGTTCAAGAAGAGGCTACTGGGGGATGCTTGAAGTGGTGTGGTTTTGGTTATTCTATGAATAATTAATTCTTTATTATTCGTCTTTTGCTAAATTCAACCAACATGGTCCGTCCAATTTACTTTTGTTGTATTTTTTCATTTTTTGTTGTACATCCACATCAAAATTGTCAACTAACTGTTCAAAATCCATAGTCATCTTGGTTGCAATATCTTTACATTTTTTAAAAATATACACGTATCATATATGTGATGCCTTGTGTCAGATATTTTCACTGGCCTTATCTGCACAAGAAAGAATATATTATAATACACATTATTATAATAATCTTTTTTTTTCCATTCAGGACAACCCTTTATTTGGGCACTTTGATGTGGTTTAATGGTTAGTAACTTTGTCTCTATAGATCAATTACAACTGAGTAGTGAGTTCAATCCTCACTAGGTGCTCTACACTTTTGGCCTTGTACACTTAGAAAATCATTTAAGCTATGCTTAGAAAATCAAGGGCACTTCAATGTGGTGTAATGTTTAGCAATTTTGTCTTGCTAGATCAATTACAAATGTGTAGTGAGCTTGATCCTCACTTGCTGCTCCACACTTTTGGCCTTGTGCCACATCTAAGTTACACTTAGAAAATCACTTGAGCACTCTAACATGGTGTAATGGTTAACAAGCTTGATTTTCTAGCTCAGTTATGACTGAGTAGTGAGTTTGATACTCACTGGGTGCTCCATATTTTTGGTCTTGTGCCACATCTAAGCTATGCTTAGGGAATCACCATTTGGCCTTGTGCCACAAATTAATGTAAATCTTTATTTAAATAAACATTACAACCTTCTATTGGGTCAGGACCTGAGACTTGAGGTCAAGCAAGAGATTAAATATCTACATTCTGATGTTAAGTGCTACTTAAACATCTACCATGTTTATATTTTCTTTACATTGATAAGACTCTCCTGTATAGATGTGACATTCTACACAATGTGATTCTTTGGATTAACAATTTCAATTCCAAGATCCTAATATTTACTTGTCATATTCTTCAAAAGATCTGTTTTTATCTGATGGCATTGATATATCTATGGAAAGGTATTTTGGGGGGGTTTTCAGTTATCATTATTATTATTATTATTATTTTAGATGCCTATTAGATATTTTACACACACTTTAAAATACTTATTGTCTATATCTTTAGAATCAAATCAAACATATAAACAGAATCTTCTGTGAGTGGATTCACCCCAAGTAAATCATTGGAAAGTCTCAGAATGGTAGCATTTTTTAAGTAGGGAATTTATACCTTCAGACGTGTGCTTCATCCTATCACAATCTTTTTTTTATCATAAAAATTGAAAGAATAAAATTTTTGACAATGCACAAGTAATCATTTTTTTTTTTTTATATCACTACTGAGTTGAAAAACATCATGAATTTTTATAAGTTATGCGAATATTTTTCAGCAAGACTATGGTAGACCAAATTAAGAGATACACTGGTGGGCCGCACACAGAGACACGCTGTGGTGGACTGCACACAGAGACACACTGTAAGCAGATGTGCACAGAGACACACTGTGATGGTCTGTACACACAGACACATTGTGGTGTTCCACGCACAAAGACATACTGTAGTGGGCCGCACAGAGACATACTGTGGTAGGCTGTGCACAGGGACACACTGTGGTGGACCACAAACAGAAACACTATAGTGGATTGCACACAGATACACTATGGTAGATGATAAATGGATAGACTCTCAGTTTCTGTTATGTAAGTCAATGTTTGTAGAATAGAATTTATATGTACACCAATTGATATTAGTAAAATTTTCTGTAGTGTAGAATGAATTTATTCTCACATGCACTTCTTTTAATGACTGACCACAAATTTCCAATTGTGTTATTATCTGGAGAGGCTGGAAAATTTTCCATAAATTTGCTGTCTTTTTTTTTTTTGCGAGGTGGGCAATTGTTAGCTTTGCAGAATGTGATGGAATATTTTCTTTCTTTCACAAATATTCTCATTAGCTAAAACCCATTGTTTTTTAATGTGTGTTTTGGATATATAATTCATTTGATTTCATCTAGATTCTTTTTTCTTTGTTTCCATCACATTTATTGTTAAATATCCCACATTGTAATAATAGAAGATCTGACAAAAATGGTGAAACATTATACACACACACACACACATATATATATATATATATATATATATATATATATGTAAGCAAATATATGGATATAGATCCGACAGTATGAAGAAAAATATACGGAAAAAACAAACAAAAATCCTAATATGCAATTATGCTGTTTTAATGTTAATATAATGTCAACGTTGGACGTTTCGGTCTAGTAGACCATCTTCAGGACATATTCATAAAACATAATTAACATTAGACTATATTCAATTCAACATGAAAAGGCGATGGACATAAGAGTAAGACTAATCAAACAGATAACTGAAATTTTTCAAGATCAGCATTCCATTTCAATATGATCACGTCGGCGTCATGTCTTAATGAATATGTCCTGAAGATGGTCTACTAGACCGAAACGTCCAATGTTGACATTATATTAACATTAAAACAGCATAATTGCATATTAGGATTTTTGTTTGTTTTTCCGTATATTTTTCTTCATATATATATATATATATATATATATATATATATATATTTTTTTTTTTTTTTTCCCTGTGCAAAAGACCCAAAGAACTCCCAACATGACGTTACTGAATGGAGCCTGTGATTCAAGGTTGATAGTTGATCTTAAAGCACCTCTACAATTTTCAGTACACATCATTCAGACAGTTGCATGTTCTGACATTGTAGTGGGGTCTAATTCAAAGAAGTGTGTCTACCTAGTAGAATTAATGGTCCCATGAAATCGTTTTCTTCCTTTTGAAGGTGGGCATCAATGGCCAGAACCTAAAGCATGCTTCCCATCATCTCCAAACCACAGCTCAACAGGCATTGATCTGGTCAAGATCTGAAATAATAAAATTCATTAGAACCATGCTTGCAACACAATGCTACTTCCAATGTGAAACACATATGTTTACCTTTCATTCTCTTCTGAATAACGGTCACTACAAGCACAATATGTATTTTAACACAACACTGAAAATATTAGTTCCAGTTGTAAAAAAAAAATCACTATAGACTGACATGTATACAAAAACAATACCCTATCTGGTGGCTAAAGCAGCTGGTAGCACCCGGGGTGGCAGTACTGCCTTAGCCACTAAAACTGTGTTACCCTACCTTCATCAGCTTGGCAGCTGATGAAGGTAGGGTATCACATGTGCTTTCACACATTGTATGTAGAGAATTAAATTATATATATATATATATATATATATATATATATATATAGGAAATAAAAAAATATAAGTATAACTGATGATATTATTATAGGTATTTAATAATTATTTAATATCTACAGAAATTTTATTTTTACTATTTTAAATATGTTAGCATTGAATAAATATTTAAATATCTAGATTGTTTTTTTAATACATGTTCTTTTGAGGGAAGTGTAATTTTATGAAGGTCAGACAGTTTTTGTAAAAATTTGTTACATTTTATATGTTTTTTCGCTCAATCGTTGAAAACTGAAAAAAATTGTAAAGAATCTACTTCAAGTTTATGGAAAAATATTTTTTTGTATATACTGACCAATGAGAGGTGTGATCTGAAGCTCTAATAGCTACTGGAATGGGAGGGAGTCCTTGTGAGCCTAATTTTACAAATATATAGAGCTCAGGCCAGGGAGAAGACTTTTTGTCAGCAAAGGGGACAAGGCAAATCAACATCAAGGAGCAGAAGGCCTTTGACATCAAGAAGAGAACATCAAGAAGGCACCAGTTACCAGCAAGCTGCAGAATGACTAAAGAAATTTGAATTTCAATTGAAAATTCTCCTGGAATTGGGCAACAAAAACCAAAAAGAACTCTAAGAAATTTTTCCAAGCATGGACTGTGTGAATTTAAACAGTCCTTTAAAAAATGACTATATGTCCCAGAGATGCTCATGGAGCAAGTAAAAGTAGGTGTTTTTATTTTTTTCTGAGAGAGGAGGGGTGTTGCACCTTTGTTTTTCTGCCTTCTTGGATTATTTTTTCTTTTTGTTTTTTCCCAAGCTGTAATTTTTTTTCCATTTTTTTGATGATAATCTTTTTATCAGAAATTCTTATCCTGTCTTAATTGTTGCACAAAAGGAAAATTTTGTACAAATTTTGTATTTGTACCTTTTTTGTAATTGTGCAATAAATATGTTCTTCCTTTTAAAATTTTATGCAGTGGTTGCGTCTTATTGCGTCTAATTTGGAACCTATTATGACTTCCTATTCCTATTGTTACAATACAATTTTGATATATTTGAAAAAATTTTTAATAATTGTATTATTATATATATTTGATAAACAACCCTTGAGTTGCATAGCAAATTCTCATACCCCAATTAAGCTGTTTGAAATATTTCAAATAAAAAATAATTGAGTAAATATCAATTTTATTAAATGATCTTAAATATCACTTTTATCAAGTGATTTTAAATATCGATGTAATAGAATTGTTTTAGACAATATGTATTGCTTATCAGTAAGCTTTAATATACTCAGTATTCACCCAAGCTCCCCACAAGGCAGGATATGGCACAAGGCCGGTTTTTAATGTGGGGCTTTCTGAGTGCATATGCTTGGGAAAAACCAACTTCCCATAGATCCTGCATATGTGGAGTTGGGTGGCTGTCTACTTCCCCAGATGAGACTCTGCCCGTAGGCCTATCCTCATCTGAGTTCCTCTTCACCTGAAATCAGAGAGTTTGACAAGCTAGAGTTTTAATATACTCAGTATTTACCCAGCTCCGCAAAAATTCCCTGTAGACTCTGTATACATGGGGTCGGGTAGCTGTCTACCTCCCCAGATAAGACTCTGCCCTTTGGCATAGCCTTGTCTGGGTTCCTCTCTGCCTAGAGGCAGAGAGGTCAAGAAGCAGATCCAGGCAGTGAAGTACCTGACTCCTTTGAGTTTTCATATACTTGGTATTTACCTGAGATCCCCACAAAACGGGATGTAGCACAAGGCCAGTAAGACTTTCTGAGCCCATGGGCTCAGGCAAAAATTACACTTATACATGAGGTCAGATAGATGTCTACTTCCCCAGATGAGACTCTGCCATTCAGCATAGCCCCATCTGGGTTCCTTTCAGCCTGAAGGCAGAAAGGTTGACAAGCAATATATGCCAAACTCAGCAGTTTGATATACTTGGTATTTACCTGAGTTCCCCATAAGTGGGATGTGGCACAAAGCTGGTTATTTTATATTGGGCATTTTGAGCCTGTAGGCTCAGGCAAAAATTCCCCATAGACCCTGAATACATGGAGTCAGCTTGTTGTCTACCCCTTCAGCCTCATTTGGGTATCTTTTTGCTTGAAGGCTGAGAGATTGACAAGCTATGTAATCCGAACTCAGAGGCTTGATATACTCTGCATATCAGCTGAGTTCTCCTGAATATATGTTTTCAGAAAAGATCCATTAATGGGGGAGATGGATCATATCACAATCAATTTTATAAACTGATATTAAATATCAATTTTATTGAGTGATTTTAAGTATTACTGCTGAAAGAGCCCTTGCCTATAATAGATGACAGAAATATATTCTTGGAGCAAAACTGATGATTCCCTCCAGATGTTAGAAAATGTTCCTCCATAAATTGAGGAAAATCTTAGTCTGTCAGTGATCAGCATATTTTTGAGGATTCCTGACATATATAGTGAAGCACAGAAACATGTTGGCAAGAAAATTAAGATCTGTGAGAGATATTATTGAAAGTCCATCAAAAACTGTTTGGACAATTGCACAATCAATAAGCCATGGACAGCAATATCTAGGCCAGTAAATTTCATAAATCAGTGTTTGTGTTAATGCCACAAAGAAGACAGATACAAGTGGACAGAGATGATCCTCAAAGAGTACCATTAATCCATAGAATGTTGACTGCACTGATGAGAAGAGCATTAATTTTGGTGGGTCTGAGTAATACAGCTGTTTTTATATAATCCACAATGAGAAACACTGAAGGTGGATAGTCTTATGTTTGGTTTTGAAAGAAATGGGAGTCTTAGATGGCTTTGATAGGTGTGGGATATATTAGTTATTGTTAACAGAACATTGAGAGCATTCAAGTATCAATAAATGTTAGATCCTGAAGCTACCAATAAAGGTGAAAGAAAAACAGTTGATCATCCAGCAAGACAATGCAAAAACAGTTGATCATTCTGCAAAAGACCAACTGTTTTATATGTCAATAATGATTTTCATTTGTAATGAAATTGGGATGGGCAAAGATGCATTCCAAAAGTTAGGCAGAATATTACAAGACAGGATAGTTTCATTGGTAACAAAGAAAGAATACTGAGCTGTTATGTGATATCTGTCCTCCTTTAGTGAATGTTGGATGGTTTCCTCAGAGATGAAGTGGTGGAAGTATGATTGTACAGAAGGATGCTAAGGATATCATGGACTGAGTGTTTGAGCAACAATGCGGTTTTGGAGAAGATAAAAACAAGGTGGAAGCTTATATTTAACATCAGGAAGAGGCAGCTGAAATTTCTGGGACACATAATGAGAAAGGAGGGCTTGGA